GGCTCCTTACTCCAAAAAACGGGCTCTCTGTAGCCCAGTGCCGAAACCCCGGTGCCTGGCGATATGGATTTGAACCAAAGGCTTTGATTGGGAACTTTAATCGTTCTCCTGTCTAGGTCTGGGCAACGTGACAGTATCCCGCCCACGCAATAACCATGACCTTTCCTTTTAACGAGCTCTTGATGCTCTGGCGGTCGCAGAAGATAATAAACGGCGCATTATCTGCTGCATCGAGCAGGGTGGATAGGGGTTTGGGTGCTACTGCTCAAGCCTTCAGGCCTCTTTATTCTCAGTCTTGCCTTTGTTCATCCTTGTTGTCCCGTTCCAACTTCACTTTCATCCCCCGTTTTCAATCCCCCAATTCTTGGCCCTCCCCTTCCTTGATTGAATAGTCGCTTGTAGTCTAGTTTCAACTCACACACAATCGCAAGGTGTCGCTCCAGTCTAGTTGACAAGTCCATGTTCAACCAAGCGGACAACGTCAGTTCATCCGTTTCCCTTTGGAGTCCTCGATCCTCGCTAAGACTGGCATACCTCAACGTGCGTACTTTGCTACAGATTGGTCAACAGGCAGCACTTGTCCGAACATTCGAGACCCACTCGATCGATATTTGCTGATTATCGCAAACACGCCTGCAAGATTCGAGATCCGTGCTTACTCTGCGATCCTCCACATACGACACTGGCGGCACATTCTCATTGCTCGTCTGACGATGATGCAGCTTAAAATGCCGGTCAAGCTGGCGTCGGCATTGTTTTGAGTCCGCGGGCTGAAGCCTCCCTGATCGACTGGCTCCCTGTCAACAGCCGCATGTGCGCCGATAGGTTAGCTGGCTCGTTCCAGGCTTCGAAGTCGCGCAGGGACAAGCCGTGCCTGTTTCTCATTGCGGCTTACTGTAAACTGTAGCTCTGATTCGGTGAAAGATGATTTCTATCACCAACTTAACGATCTCATTCGTTACAGAAGTAGCACGGATACTGTGGTGCTTGCTGATGGTCTAAACGCGCAAGTCGGAGTATTTCCCTCTGATGAGCATCATCTGGGCGGTCAACATGGTGTAGGCTCCCGTAATGATAATGGTGAGCGGGTGCTACACATGTGTGAAGGTGCTCCTCTTTTTCTCACAAGCACTAACCTTTGACATAGCACCCGCAGAAGAGTGACTTGCCGCCCAAAAGTCTCGGGCTAGCCATGGACGCAAATCGATCACATCACGATTAGTTACTGCTGGAGAGGCTGTGTCCAAAACTGTCACTTGATTTGGAGCACCAGCGTGGACTACGATCACGCTCTTGTGTGTGTTGACCAGCGGGTGCGTTTCGGAGGACGTCCGCAGCGTCGCTCTGAGCGCATTGACACCAGCCAGCTGGCGAAGCCAGGAGCTCTGAATGCGTATCAAAGTAGGCTGAGTAAGCACCCACTGAACACCGTAGAGGATCACTGGTCGCATTTTCGTCGAACATTACTATTAGCAGGCATGTCTGTATGTGACAAATCAAACTACCAATCAAGACATTGGGTCTCTACAAAGTCTTTAGAACTTATGGATGCTCGCCGACGTATTCCGGCTGGAAGTAAATATAACGAGACTCGCAAAAATCTCAGAGCAAAACTGTGCTAGCCTGAAGAGAGACCGCGAGGCCTGGTGGTCTGATCGTGCATCGGAAATGGAAAGAGCCGCTGCCGTTGGTAATCATCGTAAGTTATTAAGTCTGCTACGAGAAATAGGCAGCAGGAGACTTGGTGCTAGCGAGAAAATACGCGACGAGAGTAGACAGCCGATCCACAGCTTTTCAAAACGCTTGGAGTGTTGGACCGAACATTTCGTAAGGCAGTTTAACCAATCTGAGTTAACGCTTTCTCTTTCGAACATTGAGTGCGCTTCTCCATGGGCCGTCTTCTTAGATATGCCCTCACGTGCAGAAGTCGAACGTGAGATCAGACTGTTGAAATTGCATAAGGCCGTTAGTGCAGATAGAATTTCCCCAACTCCCTACAAATTCGGAGGACCTGCTATTGTAGATGATTTACACGAGTTGTTAATGGAACATTGGGAGCAGGAAACTGTCCCGACAGACTAGAGCCGCTCCGTCATAGTTCCAAATTGCAAGGGAGGCTCCCGTTCGGAATGCGGCAATCATAGAGGGATCAATCTGATCTCCATCGCCTCTAAATTACTTGCCTCTGGTGTTCCCCACAGATTGACCGGCGCTTGTGAAGGCCAGATTCGAGAAGAGCAAGTCGGGTTTCAAATGAAATCGAGGCTGCATCGACCACATCTTCACTTTGCGTCAATTGTTGGAGCACCGCCATGTTTATTAGGGACCCACCGTTGTCGTGTTTCTCGACATCAAAGGTGCCTTCGGTGGATCCATGTGCCTTTTGGAACCGTCTGCTGAGAAAAGGTGTGCCCGATAAATATGGAAACATTATCATAGCGCTGTACCCGCATAGTTCGGGCAGAGTGAGGGTTTATGGCAAACTGTCGCCATCCTTCAATATCTCCAGCGGTGTGAGACCAAGCTGCCCGCTGTCATCCTTCCTCTTTAACTTCGCTATTGATGGAGTCATGGAAACAGCGTTCGCTGGACACGACCTAGAAGGTGTGGAGCTACTTTATGGTGAGCGACTTCTTGACTTAAAGTATGCGGACGACAGTGCCCTCATATGTGACAGCGCCCAAACGTGCCAGGCTGCATTGGATCGATTAGCACTGGCTGTCGATCGTTTTGGGCTTTGCTTTGCTTCATCGAAATGCAAAGTTCTCCAAGAGTGGAAAGGACTCACCCCTGCGCTGATCTTTGACGGTGAGCAGCTAGAAGTCGTTCAAAAATTCAAGTACCTGGGCAGCTAAATTAGTGCCCGTGAGAGCGAAGCTGAGAATAAGAACAGTATAGCAGAAGCTCAAGGTGCTTTTGCTAATCTCCGCCACCTGTGGCTCAGACACGATATCACTCTCGCACCCAAAGGCAGAGTTTATGACGCAGCCGTCCGTTCAACTCTCCTAGATGGTTGTGAAACCTGGCCCATCAGGTCGACAGACATAAAGGGGCTCGTCATATTAGATCATCGCTGCCTTCGCAGCTTAGCTCATGTCTGCTGGGAGCACCGCGTGAGCAATGAGCGTGTTCGGCGTCGCGTATTTCGTACAGGGAGAGCTAGTGAACCGCTCAGCACCATTAGATCACGCAGCAGGCTCCGATGGTTGGGCCACGTGTTGCGCATGCCAGCACACCGACTCCCGCGACGTGCATTGTTTGCGCGCCGGGGGTGCGGTTGGAAGAGGAGGGGAGGCTAAGCGATGACCTGGTCGAGAGAAATGAAAACCCTCACTTCGAAGTATGCGTCAGTTAGTACATCCCGACTGCCTGGCTGGGGTCCTAAGGACGGTGAACACGTTTGGTTGGACACACATGCTGTTATGGTTAGGAGCCGGCCCCAATGGCGTTAGTGTTGTGAGTTCCTTTTTCCATCCCCCTCCTGCTTAGCCGCTCCTTCCAAAATCACGAACTCATTCGTTAGGCATAATATAACCCACCTTTTGCGGCACGACAGCCGGCTGTTAGCTCTGTGGAACGATTGTCATCCGTTACGGGGACTCAGCCTTTGGTGCTTATTTTTTCTTCTTGTCTTTCGTATTGCGGCACAATAGCTGTGTTTTCCACCTGCAGCTAACGTGTATAATGATGATGATGATGATCCGCTCACAAAGAGCCGCATTGGAAATCGCGCGGTAGTCAGCCTACATCCACCATATAGCGATAAAACGTAAAGGTGTCAAGCCTGTTTTCGAATCCGTGAGTCTCTCGGGTTAGGGAGTTAACGATGAAGAAAAGCGCAAGTTGGAAACATAAAACATTGTGCGGATTAGGGGAAAATGGAAGATTTGCATTAATTTATGAGGAGATTCCACTTATCAAAGCCGCAATTAATAAACTGATTATATATATATATATATATATATATATATATATATATATATATATATATATATATATATCCTAATGCCCCTTGCTGAGGCTGATGTTGCATTCATGATGCCTCTTCACCGTAGTTGGGTTAAACCAATTTACACTTAAACTAGGTCTTTTTAATGTGGATAAAATTCATTACATGTTAGTTGGTTTGTTCTGCGTACTTGATAATCTTCTCCTTACTTGCACACGTCGCTCACGCAAATTGTGGTAAACTTGCGTAATTTTATCGCGTGGTATTTTTAACTAACTTTCGGACATTTTGTACTTATCACGGATGATTCGCTTATAACCAATTTCTTCTATATGCTCATTTAGCGAGTATTTATGTGTTGCGGGCCCGTCAAAAATCCCCGCAAAAAACGAGCCAGTAACTCCGGCATAATGGCTGTGGGAAGCGGAGTCCAATTTCTCCCCACAACGCAGCAGTGTTCAGCCACTCCGAGGCGCGTCCCAACTGCGAACCTTTTGACAATGGTCATTTGCAAACTACCACCTCTGCGTGGTGACTTTTTCCCTAACTTAATAACACATAGCACTGGCTGTGATCGCCCTTTGTCGGTCGTAAAAGAGCCTACAGAGGACCACCTGCCTTTCCTTTCTCTTCGCCTCAGTTGGGAGTCGGTCGGGTCGCGTGATTGCGTGTGAATCGTAAGCTAGCCAGCCTTCGCGTCTAAGTCATTAGCGCGCGTCTATCGTACCCCCCTCTCGTGTGCGTCCGTTTTCGAGGCCTCAGCGTCTATACGAACAAGTGCGGCTAAGATCGTTCCTACGCTCGTCCAATTTTCCGTCTCACCGGCTAAGCTAGCGTCATCGTAGGCGTGCTCCAACCGTGCGAGCGACAATCTTGTCACGCAATTACCTCAAGAGGCGGCGTTCTCTCAATTATAACAGTGGCGACTCAATCATAACATTATGTCGTCATATGCGTTTGATTTAATCGATATCGGCATTTCGAATGATTGGCTGTTGTTTGACATCCCAGATGTGGCTGCGCTTGATGTGCATATTGACAAGGTGCCTACCTGCTGCTGTTAGCCAAGACAGCTTCCCCCCCCCCCCCCCCCCCCCCCCCCCCCCCCCCCCCCCCCCCCCCCCCCCCCCCCCCCCCACCTTCCCCCCCCCCCCCCCCTAAATACCCCCCCCTCCCCCCCCCCACACCCCCCCCACAACCCCCCGGCAACCCCCCCCCCGTTTTGACCAATACTGGATGCCTACAGTTTCAATGAAGAAATCGACATGCGAGCGAAGATTTAAGAAACTGACAGCAGAAGAGAATGAAGGTTGGAGAGTCAGTGGGTGGACCCTTGTAATCTACATGGAGCCAACAATGACTAGCTGCTGTCAAGTGGAGTTGACGCGAGTAGGACGAACGACGCATAACGGCGCGCTAGGAGAGTGAAGAGTGACCATCAATAAAGTTTAGACTAAGCCTTCAGTTACTAGTGGATCCTACGGTGGCACATAATTAGTCAACAAACAATCTGAGCTGTGATGCAAACAATCCAAGAGAATGAACATTGTAAGAAGGGAGCGACTCCTACAGAGCTTCGGATATACGCAGAGTTAAATGGAAGCTATGGCGACTAACTGCTGCTAAGCAAAGAAATTGGCCCTGGAGAAGGGTGAACCAGTGGCTAATGTAGCCATGTCATTAAGAAGTTTGCCCAATACTGGATACCTACAGTTTCGACGGAGGAATCAACATGCGAGCAAAGCTTAAGAGAGACAGACGGCAAAAGAAAATGAAGGTTGGAGAGTCAAGGTGTGGCTACTTGTAAGCTACATGGAGCCAACAATGACTAGCTATTGCCAAGAAGAGTTGACCAGAGTAGGATAACGGCGCGCTAGGAGAGAGATGAATCGCCAGCATTGGAGTTCGGATGAAGCATTTGGTTACTAGTGGATCTTACGGTGGCACATAATAGGTCAACAAACCATCTGAGCTGTGACGCAAACATTCTAAGTTAATGAACTTTGTAAGAAGGGAGCGACTTTTACAGAGCTCCGGATATCCGCAGAGTTAAATGGAGGCTATGGTGACTAACTGCTGCTAAGCGGAGATAGTGGCTCTGGAAAAGAATGAATCAGTGGCTGGTGCAGTCATAGTATTAAGACGTTTGTCCACTATTGGAACCTACAGTTTTGATGAAGAAGCCAACATGCGAGCATAGTTTAAGAGAGACCGACGGCAGAAGAAAATGAACGCTGGATAGTCAAGAAGAGGCTCCTTGCAAGCTACATGGAGCCAACAATGACTAGCTATTGCCAAGCAAAGTTGTGGCGCGTAAGATGAAGGACGGATAATGGCGCGCTAGGAGAGAAATGAATGGCCAGCATTGGAGTTCGGATTAAGCCTCCAGTTACTAGTGGATCCTACGGTGGCACATAATAGGTCAACAAACCATCTGAGCTGTTATGCAAGCAATCCAAGAGAATGAACATTGTAAGAAGGGAGCGACTCCTACAGAGCTCCGGATATCCGCAGAGTTAAATGGAGGCTATGGTGACTAACTGCTGCTAAGCAGAGATAGTGGCTCTGGAAAAGAATGAATCAGTGGCTGGTGTAGCCATAACATTAAGACGTTTCTATTACCTTTACATAATGCCATACATGGAGACGCTAAGGCGATAACTGATTAAAATATTCGCCTATGGGTGTGAAGACGAAGGAATACTCACTGACGTCGTGTCAACGCCACACTTGGAATCCTATTAGATTTGTTGAGTCATCAAGTGTGATGGAAGTAAGCAAACTTAGAATTTTTGCTGTACAGCTTCAGGTTGGTCTACCAACTTCAATGGGAACAACGCTCCCCATGATCGTTGCACTGACAGTCGCACACAATTGTCTAACCGCCTAGCAGCCAATGCTGATCTGCGGAATACCAGCGGAATACCAGTTAGAACATAGCCTGTCTCCGCCACCAAGGCTAGACCGCTGAATAAGCCACCACCAGGTAGCCGCTATCGATCACTAAGTATAGACCGCTTCATGTGCCGGTTAGTATGTCTATCCGCACTATTTACGTCTTAAGCTTACCGCTGCATAAGCCACCACCAGGTAGGCGCTCTCGATAACTAAGTTTAGGCCGCTTCATATGCTGGTTAGTATGTCTGTCCGCACTTGTTATGTCTTAAGCTTACCGCTGAATAATCCACCACCAGGTAGCCGCTAGCGATCACTAGGTATAGACCGCTTCATGTGCTGGTTAGTATGTCTGCCCGTACTGGTTACTTCTTAAGCTTTTGATAATGTGGTAGCTGGCATCTCCTCCTTTGACAGGCAGCACAATTTGCCTATTGGTCGGTTTCAGGTTGTAGACCAATCATCGAGGTTTTCTTAAGATGGGCACCAAGGCAGACCAGAAGGTGGTGCTCGACCACTTTCATTGGACTGTCTGTCGCTTATGCTGGTGGCTTCTAACCGAAGTCCCATTGGTTTATGTCCCATGACCAATGAGAGTGTCAAATCAGCGTTCCTGACCTCGCTAACTTGAAAGTACGTCAAGCTACTTCGGAAATGCACCACGCTAAATGCTTGGTACAATACACTAACATGCGTGTAAAATGATATCGAAGATGAGATAAGATTGAACTTTTACTCGACCATGCTTCACTTTTGTATAACCACTTTGGGATATGTTCGCGGATCCTATGAGATAAGCGTCTCGTTGTAAGACCCACGTATCGTGCCCCACAGGAGTACGAGATAAGATAAACAAGCATTGATCGGGCCACCAGTGGCAGCCTGACTTTCAAAGGTTTTGCGAATAAAGGCTTGTTGTAAAATACTATGCGTATGCGAGCCGCGAAATAGGTCTTTTCAACAGTGTCACCCAGGCGTTTGGACAGGGCATCAGCCGCACTATCGCCATTGAAAGGAATATGCACAATTAGTTCTTTTTTGGGTACCTTCATCCTCGGTGGTTTGATCTTGCGTTCTTTCAAATGTTTGAGAATGAATTTATCTGGATACCCATTCGATCTTTGCGCATCGCTGATTCTCTGCAATTTCTTGGTGATTGTGTCCGGGGTGCAAATTCTATGTGCGCGGAACGAAAGAGTGCGGACTAGGTTTCGTTGGTACTGTATGGGTACCGGACTATACAAGTTGATGTATCGTCCGGTCCAAGTTGGTTTGCCATACACCCCTCTGCTGCACGATCCATCGGCGTTTCTGATGATATCAACATCCAGGAACGGTAGTCGGGTTCTGGATTCGTGCTCATATGTGAAATGTAGATTCTGATGCGCATCATTGAAAGCTTCCAATAGTTTCACAGTCTGCGCTTTTGATTTGCAGAGTATAAATGTATCGTCTACATAACGTATATACATCTAGACTTAGTTGATGTGCGTTCCAATTTTGCCATAAAGACATCTGCTAGGATGGGTCCCAATGGTGAGCCCATGGTAACTCTAGCAATTTTACTATACATCTCCCCGTTAAAGGTGAACTGCACGTTTAGGGTGCCTCTAAGTAACAATTCCTTCACGAGGTTGTCCGGGATATTTATAGGTACAGGCAGTTGCCCTACTAGTTCGCAGCCATATTCTACTGTTTCCAACAACGGAATATTCGTAAACAACGACTGCGCATCAAATGACGACATCCATTTGTTGGTAAGGTTCACATCCCTTATCTTCTCAATGAACTCGAAATTGTCTTTCGCGCAGTGTGCATACAGTTTTACGCAGCGGTTCCAGCTTTCCAACCATCCATTGAGCTCGCAATTGTTGCGGAGAGCTAACCATATCCAGGATAGGACGCATTGCAACGCCCTCCTTGTGTACTTTAGGGTGGCCGTACAACCGTGGCAGATGTCCGCCTGAAGGTCTCAACTTTTCGAATTCGCGCTTTGTGGCAACATTCTCTTTCATCATTCGTCGGAGCAAATCGGTCATTTGTTTTTCTAAATCTTCTGTATTATCCTTTCCTAATGTTAGATTTTGAAACTTACGTTCATCACTAAGAATATGTTGCACCTTACCAACATAATCAGTTCTATTCATTAGAACTATACCAGAACTTTTATTCGGCTTAGAGATAATTAACTCTTTGTTTAACCATAACTCTCTAAGTGACTGCATATGTTCGCTTGTAAGTAAACCACTACTGGCTGGTCTATCCTTAATGTAATCATGGCAGGTGTTTACTAAGCTAGATAACATGTGCGCAACGTTCCCTGGCGAATTTAATGAGAGGTCGCGCGCCTGCGCTATTAGGCTTAATAGCGCAGGCCGCTGGGGTCGCAGATGCCCAATTCGAAATGTTTCTAGTTCCTTCAGGCGCTATTGAGCTCCTTGTTCTTGTTGTGAAATTTGCGTAGAGGTGTGGTTGCGCCTTTTTTCATTAGAACACGAGCCAACTCACCACAAGCACACGAAATTCATTGGACTTCTGTTGGCCCGCTCAGTCGCCACCATTGTTGGTGCGCACATGGAAGAAATGAGGGGCGGAATTATAAGGGATACGAAAAGTTAAAAAATAATTTCGCGAAACGCAGATGAAAATAAAAAGGATTTGGTAAGAGACCCACTAAGGCGGCTTGCTTCACTAGATAAATATAAATTAATAAAAATATTTAGGCAAACATTTCTTGCGCTGATATTGCTTTCTGGCGCAAAACTTCAACCTGAGTAAATTTCAGAAAAAAGAAAAACCTTTTCGAAGGCTGGAATCCTGTGTAAAGTAGTACAAAATTAAGCGGCTTTGGTCCTTTTAACCGCTGATTAAGTTGAAGGTAAAAGCAATGCAATTGGTGTAATGGTTTGCGAGTTATTGGCAAGTGAATGACGGCCTACGAATAAGCCCATTATTCTTTTTCGCTGAAAATGGCTTTCTGCTTTGTAAACACATAGCAGAAAAGAAAAGAAAATGTAAAATTAACGAAGCGGCATATGTTCTAAATAGGCATAGCTAGCCGGAGATGCTCTAATTAGCCCGTAATACCCTGCAACGTCTTGGGACTGCGTAGGTGGCCGAAAAGTACACTTTGAAGGCATACATGGCAATATGCACAAATAAGCGATATTTCTGAGCTAAAACGCCAGAAATCCAGTAAGGAATATTATGCCTGCATGAGAATTCAGGACAGCTTCTAATTAACCCACGGTTAGAAGACCTCAGCATACAATTTCCAGCGGATACGGAGCCCCATAAACAAATAGGAATATAGAGTTTGGTACTTTTAAGCCTATAAGTGCTTCTGAAACTTATATCATGGCCGCATGAGCCAGATCTACCTGGGTAACACAGGAGAACTTTCGGATCAGTTGACACATTTTGGCTTGTAAAATACACATATTTCTTAGCTAAACACCGCAAGGTTTATCCCCTAGAGCAGATTTTCTATATTCATGAGGCTATGTCTCCACAATCGGTGAGCTAGGAGCACCTGTCACTAATACCAAAGAAATGAGTAATGGACGTGCCAATAAACGTGGTGCCGGATGCCGAAAATAACTCAGAAAGTGTTTAACGCATCACCTTTCCAAACCATAGCTCTTGGCCATTCCGACAACTCAGTGTGGCTTCAGGCCGTTGGTGGTCTACTTGTTCGCCTGATAGGCTGGTTGTACAACCCACCGCACTCCATTTGTGCTAGCGTTGACATAATGGTTGGGGTCTTCCGGGAATTCTCATTGCTGCCTGCAGGCTATAAGGTTATGGCTGAAGGTTTCAATATGCCGCAAGTTTCGTGGCTCAGACAGTCAACACCACCTAAGTATAAGGCCCTTGTTGACACCATCTTCAACATGAATACACACAGCATGTGAATGCACTGACTAGACAATCTAACACACTGGAGCTTATATTCACCATCGGTATCTCCCAAGAATGCGCTAGCGCGTTAGACAACATACCAAGCAGTGCTTACAAGGTGGTGTAGCTGTCCTTCGCGCAGCCTTTCCATCGGTAACTTATCTCAATGTGATTGATTTGCGTCCATAGCGGGTTCGACAATGGTGTGCGCCAAGTCACCTTCCGGCAGGTGCTGTGTCGGAAATTAGTGCTCTTAAGAAATAAGCCAGCATCTGCACACAAATGAAGTACTCACCGTTATCATTACGGGAGCCTACACCATATTGGCCGCCCAGATGCAGTTCATCAGTGGATAATTCTCCAACTTGAGCGTTCAGATCCCCTGCTAGCACTACAGTGTCCGAGCTTCTTCTGTGGCGAAGGAGCTCATTCAGTTCACGACAGAAGTCGTCTTTTACCGAATCATCGCTAGAGTTTGTGGGTGCATAGACGGCGATAACGAATAGACACCTGTTAGTCCCGTGCGGCTTCGAAGCTTTGAACGAGCCAGCCAATCGGACCGCACACATCCGGCTACTGATTGGGATCCAATCAACTAGAGCAGCTTCAGCCCGGGGACTCAGGGCAATACCAACACCGGCTTGACCGGTACTCGAAGCTGCATCATCACCGGATAGGCGCAATGAGGAAGTGCTGCTGGTGTCGCCTGAAGGGGATCGCAGAGTGAGCACAGCTCGAGTCTTGCAGGCGGGTCTCTGATAAGCAAGCAGATATAGATCGATTGGGCAAGTGCTGCCTGTTGAACGATCTGTAGCAATGTGCGTACATTGAGTCATGCCAATCTGAAGGAGGATCGAAGACTACAAATGGAAGCCGATGAACTGGAATGGACCGCTTGGTTGGACATGGGCTTGTCGGCAGAACAGGAATGATGCTCCGCGTTCACATGTGAGTTGCAACTACAAAGGCCTAGCAAAGCAAGTGGGGGAGGGCCAATAATTGGGGGTTGAAAACGGGGGAATAAAAGTGAAGCTGGAACGAGACGCTAAGGGTAAAAAGGCGTAGGAGGGGGAATAAGAAGATGGAATGGCTTGAGCAGTAGCATCTAAACCCCTATCCACCTTGCTCGATGCAACGGATAGGGTACCTTTGGTTATCCTCTGCGGTAGCCAGAGCATCATGAGACTGTTTGAAGAGAAATTCATGGTATTACGTCTACAGGATACTGTCAGGCTGTCCAGGCCTAGACAGGAGAACGATTAGGGTTCTCAACTTAAGCCTT